AAAAAAAGCAAATAATTGAAAAAGAAGAGAATGAATGATATAAAAGAATAAAAAGAAAGTAAAAAGTAGATGAAGATGAAGAAAGAATAAAAGTAGAAAGGAGAGAATATAAAAAGAAAGAAGATAAAGTGTAATAAAACAAAAGAGATGATAAAAGAAGAAAAGAATGAAAAAAATAAAGGATGCAAATTTTATTGAAACAAATAAAAAAAGCGCAAAATTTAATGATGCAAAATTTAATGATGCAAAATATTTTGAAATAAAAATAAATCATCATTTGATATTATTACATTTGATAATAAATTATATTATATATTAAATACATCATATTTCTTTATTATTTATCTTTCTTTTCTTTTTATTATTTCATATATTAAATTATTATTCATGCATTTATTATTTATATTTCATTTATTAAATAAAATGAAAATGAAATTGTAAAATATCAATTAAATATTCATGAATAATAATTTATTAATATTTAATAATTGAAATAATAAATAATAATGTAACATTAATGATATATTCAATTTATTCTTTATTTGATTTGTTCAATATTAGATTATTCTATTTCATTATCATTTCATTGTCTTCATTATTTATTTCATTATTTCATATTCATTTATTATTTTTTAAAATCAAATAAACAATAATATTGATATTCATTCATCATATTCATTTAATATAATAAATATACACAACATTTCAGAATAAATAATGAATATTTAACATTGAAAATATTGATTATATTCTATAATTTATTCAACATAAAATCAATAAAACATATATTTTGATAATACACAAATGAAATATTAAAGAAATATACAATACTCAAGAATTAATAAAAAAGAAATAAAAAGAATAAATAAATATAAAATTGATAAATAATAGAAGAAACAAATAGAAACAACAACGAAAACCAAATAATATAAAAAGAATATAAATATATAAAAGAATAAAAAGAAAGTAGAAGAAGAATATAAAAATAATAAAACGAAAAGAAATAATAAAATAAGAAAAGAAGAAATAAAAAGTGTATTTTTAATGTAAAAATTAGAAATATTCAATAAAAGTGTCTAATTTAATGATGTAAAATAATTAATATTATTTTATTGATGAAAAATATTTTATTATTTTTATGTTTATTATTTATATGTATATTTAAACATGATGTTTATTATATATTCAAACATAAGTGTTATGTTATTATAACATGTAATAAGTGATAAAATATTAATGAAAATGATATGAATATATGATATAGAATATAAAAACAAAAGAATAATAAGAATAAATGATAAATAAAACGAGAAATGATAATAAATGATATAATAATAAATAAAAAGTATAAAAGATAAATTTAATATTAATACAAATCAAAAGAGAATAAATATAAAATGAAAATAGATATAAATGATAATAATATAAAAGATGAATAAGATTAATAAACAAATAAACAAATACATTTAAATATAAAAGAATAACAATAATAAAATCTAAATAATATAAACATAAAAATAATAAAATAAGAAGAATATAATAATATAATAATATATAGATAATAATAAGAATACAATGATATAAATAATATAAACAGAGAAATAAATATATAAAAATACGATAGATAAAAATACGATAGATAAAAGAATATAAATAATAAATATAAATAATCAAATCATCTATTTCATTAATATTTCATACAAAATGAATAGAAATGATTATAAAATATAAACATAAATATTTATATATTCTGTATTTATCATACTTTTTATTTTTATTTGTTAGGAGCAAAATATAATAAATGGAAAAATCTATGGATGCAAATTTTTTTGCATCTTTTTTCTTTTTTGTAAATTATTTAGATGCATTTTTTCTTTGCTAATTTTCGTACCCACTATTTTGCATCATTAAATATTAAACTAGATACATGTTTTCGTAAAACAAAATTGGAATTTAAATATAATAACATCATTGTTATATATACATATGCTAATAAACTATGCGATTATAAAACTATTTATTTGTTAATTATCTTGATTTTAACAAAATACTGGTTATTAGTATTATCATATCTGTACAATAAAAAGAATGATTTTCTCAATGCTGCTTATATTGTTAATTATAAAATTATTGAATATTATATATTTGTAGTTCATGAAAACAATAAAGAAAATAATGTTAGAGTGTGTTATATGAGTTTGTTGATATCATTCATTATCACTGAATTGTTTGAAGAGAGTAGTTAGATACAATGATACTAATCATGCACATGAAATATCCAAAACTCTATTAAAGAAATTATATTCGGTTTTGATGTAATTGATTATTTAGTCTTCATTTCACTTGATAATCCCAGTTTAAAAATTAAATATATTGTAAATTGTAATAAGTCATATAAATATTCTGTAAAACAAATTGGAATAAATAAACATTTATATGAATATCCTCGATATAATTGACTTAAAATTGCTGATATTTCTCAATATTGAATGATTAATGGATAATTGTTAAATGAGTTATCTACAAAATACAGACTCAATTCAAATTACTGAATGAAATAGGCTTGTTAATATACAAAGTTATATAACTAATGTGATTGTAAATTTAACTTGAGATGTTGTATTATATATTTATATTGATCTTATACAGATATACAAATTTAGTTCAACTTCTGACTCTAAACTATTCAAGATTTTTTTAATACTTCTCTTTCAAATGTTTCTAAGTATATAAACAATATTTGAACATCAAAACACGTAAATAATAACATTATTTGAATCAAACAGAAAAGTATATAATCTCTATCAAAAGAATATTGGATAAAAACGTTAAAAATGTTTAATAATACAATTCAATATATACCCAAATCTGGAAATCAATGTTTTGCTGATTTCAAAACTAAAACAGTTATATAAAGTATTCTTCAAATTGAAAAGAGTATTGTAAGATTGTTGTTATTAATGTTGTTATTTCTCAACTTTACTTATTTATACAAATGCATATGATATGATTCTTCAAAAATAATTTATATTCTATTTCATCAAAAGAGATATTTGTTATGTTATAGGATTTAATATTGTTACATAAACAATGAAGTATAACATTGAACAATTTAAAAAATATGAATGTACTTGG